GCTCTATAATGCTATGGGGAGAACTGTGCAATAAATTAGGTGGCCTGCTCTATAATGCTATGGGGGAACTGTGCAATAAATTTGGTGGCCTGCTCTATAATGCTATGGGGAGAACTGTGCAATAAATTAGGGGGCCCTGCTCTATAATGCTATGGGGAGAACTGTGCAATAAATTAGGGGGTCCTGCTCTATAATGCTATGGGGAGAACTGTGCAATAAATTAGGGGGCCCTGCTCTATAATGCTATGGGAAGAACTGTGCAATAAATTTGGTGGCCTGCTCTATAATGTTATGGGGGAACTGTGCAATAAATTAGGGGGCCCTGCTCTATAATGCTATGGGAAGAACTGTGCAATAAATTAGGTGGCCTGCTCTATAATGCTATGGGGGAACTGTGCAATAAATTTGGTGGCCTGCTCTATAATGCTATGGGGGAACTGTGCAATAAATTAGGTGGCCCTGCTCTATAATGCTATGGGGAGATCTATGCAATAAATTAGGGGGCCCTGCTCTATAATGCTATTGGGGGGGGGGGGGGAACTGTGCAATAAATAAGGTGGCCCTGCTCTATAATGCTATGGGGGAACTGTGCAATAAATTAGGCGGCCCTGCCTATAATTACACTAATTATACTTCAAAATTGAGATTATGCGTGTATGGTGGTTTTGTATGTTGAGTTACAATTCAGACTGCACCAAGATGATTTTTTAGAGTCTTGTCTGCCAACATGCCTGGACTGATGGCATTGACAAATTTGACTTGTTTCTGATGGACATAATGTTACCAAATTGAGTTTCTACACACATGTACACAAGTGGTAGCTAAAATTAGAGTGCCTTTACACAATTCACTTGTTTAGATGCATGTACATTTATTTATCTTCATAAATTGAGGACAGAGGTGAACCATTGCAATTTTCTACCAGCATTTATGAACCAGTGTTTTACTACTGCTGCTTACATGCAATGCTAACATACAGTTGAATACATATCATATCTTTAGCAAACATTATGCAACCTGTAGGCCTGGTTATTCACTAGCCATCTCTCAAGTTCTTGTGTTGTCAATATAGTTGCCACAGTGCTTTTTCCAAATCAAAGATCACATTCACTGAATTCCCCACTTATCATGATTTTTTTAGTAATTTTAAATGTACCCCATTACTGTTTTATGTACCTACAACATTATTAGCACATGGTAGTTTTTTCTAAGCTCTACTTCTTTTTGCTTTATTTACAGGCTTCTTGAACGTAACTTGCTGACAAGTCTAGAGGAAAAAGGAACATTTGAGATTGCTGAAAGACTAAATAAGAATATATTGCTTACTGGATGTAAATATTGAGAAGACGTGTCTTTAACTTTACATGGAATAATGACTAATATTTATACATATAGAAGACTTTACTAAATCTACTTTTTGTTAAAGAATGAAGAATGTATCAAATAGATCATTAAAAAAAAGTAACCAAAAACTTCAATACATTCGTACCTTGATGTGCCCTGGTGTTTACTGAATACCCAAACACCCACAACTATGTAAGTTACACCAGTGAAAGTTACAATATAGTAAAACAAGGTTTTTTTTGTAATCTGTAAATATGTGATAATTTTTTTACTCAGGAAACTGCCAAAGCTTGTATGTGTACTACAACTGTTAGGTCTGTTGACATTGTGGCAGGTGTGCAAGTATGTGTTACAGTCTAAGGCTAGTAACACACAAACCATGTCTTTTATATTTGTATTTATTCATTTCTAACATGTCTGAAAATTTAAAAAAAATTATAATATCTAATTATGTTTCTTTTTTTCTAAAACTGCCATCAGAAATATTTGTAATCCATTTGTTCAGGCATTCAGGCATTCCTACAAATCTTACTCAAAAATACTTCTTTAAGGTAGTTCTGGGGTATTAGAATGGATATTCAGATTTCCCTGATTTTTACATTATAGTTTAATTTTATGCTGTTCACAAAACTCGCATAAAATATATGGTCACAGAACTACTTTTCACGCAAGAAATTGCTTAACCTTTTCACCACCAGACTTTCTTGCCCAAATTTTTTCTGCACTTTTTGTTTGTTCACAATTTTTCTGGAAATGAACCCTAATTTTTGAGCCAACAGACAAAATTTGAGTCAGTATTTAGTTTTTACACAACAAATTTGGCTATTTTGTCCCAATCTTCTGGAGAAAAGTGTATACTATAAATTGTAATTGTGAGTTTGTGATGAAAAGAGGGAACTGGTGGTGAAAAGGTTAAAAACCATGAAAAGGGTGATATTTGAGCCATTTAACGTTTGTTCTGATGGAGAAAAGATCTTATCATATCTGAAGATATCGCTTGACATACAGTGAAAAAATGGATAATTCTGATTGTCATGAATTATTAGAGGATTCTGGGAATGCTATTTATTTTCTATGAAATAATGCCATATGGATTCCTTTGGAAATTGTTTCAGGGATGCTATTTTTTGGCATTTTGTCGCACGATTTACTCTGAAACCATGATTTTTACGGGTAAAAATACAAAAAAAAAAGCTATGGTACATGTCCAAATCTATAAGTACACTTTTGAAATATTATGATACAATTCTCACCCTATTATGATAGAAATACCCATGAATATCAATTTGTTTCTGTTTTTGCCATCATAGTGCCATTAAAGAGAAAATACAACATATACTTTGTAATCCTAGTTAATCATTTTGTACAAAACTAAGATATTAGTATCACTATTTACATGCAAGAAAGCAATCAATCTATTGGAATACATGTAGTATATGGCATTTGTATCACCATGGAGATACCTGCATGGTATGTCTGGCAATGTTGCATGCTATCCACTTTCATAAACAGTGTGTTCAAAAGTCTTTTTAATTCCATTGTAATGTTAATTAATCTGTAAATTTGTTTGTCATTGATTATAGATATGAGATGGTGAAAAAGATGATGTACCAATAATATTGGTATATGATGAGGGTTGTGGTGATATCGTATTTGTATGAATACAGTAAATGTATCATGAATGTTTATTCCAATGATATATTCAACCCAGCTATTTATAGACTACTGTACAATATCTTTTTACTTGGAATAAATCTGTGAAAATGTACATTTTCCAAAATTTTTACATTAATGTCCTGATTTGCACACAAGCTATCAAAATGTATTATAGTAAACCATTCACCTGGTTTTGTTACCATGGGTTACCGGTATATTGTTTGTTTTTCGGCAAGTATAACACATGAAAATTGGTAAATTTAAAATTTTCAAAATCAATGTGTGTGTGTGCATTGTATCTTTCTGTATGACGAAGGAAAATTTCTTGTGGTTGTAATAACTTAAAACAGTTTTTATCGGATCTTTTCAAACTTAGATATTTTATAAAAGTTTGGAATCTGATGTTTGTCTTGGTAATAATTACGAATTGTATTTGATCATCTGCAAACTTGGAACTTTTATCTAACACTATGAAATGTCAAGCTGGTTTTGGTTTAATCCGATTAAAATAAGATCTTTTTTTTTTATTCTTTTAATTATTCATTCTATTTTAATTTTCTGACTGCGAACATCCAAGTATCCTAACAACCGCTATAGAAGATCTCATTTGTGCGATCTCAAATACCCACATTAGTCAACTAATCAGAGAAGGTCTGTGTTTACTGTATTTGTGATTGGCTATTGAAGTTTGCAAAGGTTGAACAAGATCTCTTTTACAGGTTGTTCAGACTTTTGGGATTTCGTGATCAGACAATTATGATAAATGTTGGGGAAGAAATTGAAGAAAAATAATAAAATCAAACAATGGACTAATTGAATTAGGAAAAAATGCAAGAAAAAACCATTTAAATTTTAATCAGATTGATTTTGGTGTACAATGTAAAGCCTTCAGGTTATCAGTTAAAATAAAACATTTGTTACACGTAGAAATCATCTCCTGCTTGGTGAGTTAATCTATAAACTGCCTGATGGGAGTTTGCCCACCTTTTGTTTTAATCTATAAACTGCCTGATGGGAGTTTGCCCACCTTTTGTTTTAATCTATAAACTGCCTGATGGGAGTTTGCCCACCTTTTGTTTTAATCTATAAACTGCCTGATGGGAGTTTGCCCACCTTTTGTTTTAATCTATAAACTGCCTGATGGGAGTTTGCCCACCTTTTGTTTTAATCTATAAACTGCCTGATGGGAGTTTGCCCACCTTTTGTTTTAATCTATAAACTGCCTGATGGGAGTTTGCCCACCTTTTGTTTTAATCTATAAACTGCCTGATGGGAGTTTGCCCACCTTTTGTTTTAATCTATAAACTGCCTGATGGGAGTTTGCCCACCTTTTGTTTTAATCTATAAACTGCCTGATGGGAGTTTGCCCACCTTTTGTTTTAATCTATAAACTGCCTGATGGGAGTTTGCCCACCTTTTGTTTTAATCTATAAACTGCCTGATGGGAGTTTGCCCACCTTTTGTTTTAATCTATAAACTGCCTGATGGGAGTTTG